CAGTATTTTAGTAGGAGCTGATTTACACTCCTTAGAAATAGAAAAGGAGAGTATGGGGGTTTGATACTACGCAACGCGCGCGCACGCGTGTGCACACACGCGTGCGACCGTTGATAAGACACAATTTCAAAATTCACTTTCTCTCTCTCTCTCTCTCTCCGTCCGGTGTCTTCAGACGCGTCTCAGAGCTTCTCCTCCAAAGTAATAATGACCTCATTTCTCCAAAAATTTTAGAACGTTATTCTGCAATGGAGGCAGAAGCAAGCATGACTTCGATCAAGATGATGAACCAAGATCTTGTTCGAATAGACCAGTTCAATGGAGCAAACTTCAGCCGATGGCAAGACAAGATGATCTTYTTTCTGACCACACTAAAACTATACTATCTGCTGGACCCGAATCTGCAAGCACTTCCTGAACCCACTGACAAAGACTCAGAAAAACTAAAGAAGGAAAGAGCAAAACGAGAAGATGACTCACTTATGTACCGAGGACACATACTGAATGCCTTATTAGACCGACTCTACAACTTCTACAAGGAACTTATATCTCCAAAAGAAATCTGGAAGGCCCTGGAATTCAAATACAAGGTGCAARAAGCARGTACGAATAARTATCTTATTGCAGAATACTTTGACTTCACCATGAACGACCATAAACCCATACTAGAGCAAGTTCATGAACTACATGTAATAGTCAACAAAATTCGATCCATTGACATCATCATTCTTGAATCTTTCCAAGTGGAAGCAATCATTGCCAAACTTCCACCCTCTTGGAAGGATTACAGGAAGAAGCTTCTGCACAAGGCTGAAGAAATTACCTTGGAGCAAATTCCGCAACACCTTCGTATTGAAGAAGAGTCTTGGATTAGAGACAGTAGGGATAAGACCCTGGCCGGTATGCTGAACTCTATGGTCAACTTTGTGGAAAACGGATCGAAGAAGACTAAACCTATATTACAAGTAAATAAGAAGGATGTGAACTTCAAGAAGAGCAATAATAAGAAATGTTCCTGCTATGTTTGTGGAAAGAATAGGCATTATGCCCGAGTCTGCTAACATCGGAAAGATGGAATCAAGTCTGCAAACTTGGTAGAAGACAATCTAGTGGCCATGATTACTGAAGTCAACATGGTAGAATCGTCTTCTGGATGGTGGTTTGATTCAGGCGCCATAGTCCATGTTTGYAAGGAYAAGTYCTTGTTCAAGACATATGAAGAAGTGACTGATGGCCAGGAGGTATAGATGGGAAACCAAACATGTGCCAAAGTTGCTGGAAGAGGCAGTGTAGAGTTGAACTTCACATCCGGAAAGACACAGACTCTTCTGAATGTTCTCCATGTTCCTGACATTAGGAAGAACTTGGTCTCAGTAAATCTTGTCTGCAAGAGGGGATTCAAAGTTGTCTTTGAATCCGACAAACTAATCCTATCCAGGAATGGAATGTTTGTTGGAAAGGGATATGGTTGTAATGGTATGTTCAAATTAAGTATTAATGAAGGAAAAAATTTTGCTTATATTGTTGATTTTTTCTCTTTATGGCATGATAGATTAGCACACTTGAATTTTAAATCCATAAAGAACATAAGCAAACTTGGTATAATTGCTTATAGTAATGAATCAACTGAAAAATGTAAGATATGTGTAAAATCTAAAATGACTAAGAAACCTTTCCCTAGTATTAAGAGAAATTTTCAACTTCTAAAACTAATTCATTATGACATTTGTGAATTCAATGGTGTATTAACTAGAGGAGGTAAGAGATACTTTATAACATTTATAGATGACTTTTCTAGGTACACCTATGTCTACCTTTGACATATTTAAATTGTATAAAACTGAAGTTGAGAATCAACTAGAAAAGAAAATTAAAATCCTTATAAGTGATAGGGGTGCTGAATACTTTAAAAATGAATTTAATTCTTTCTGTGAAGAATTTGGAATAGTACATCAGTGTTCTGCTCCCTATACCCCTCAACAGAATGGCTTGGCCGAAAGAAAAAATAGAACACTTACAGAAATGATAAATTGCATGTTTTAAAATCTAATGCACTCTTAAACCTGTGGGGGGAAGCACTCCTAAYAGCCTGTCATTTACATAACATAATTGTTTCTAGAGTCAATAACAAATGCTCATATGAATTATGGACAGGAAGAAAGCCTAATTTAGCATACCTAAAAGTGTGGGGGTGCTTAGCATATTATAGAGTTCCAGATCCTAAAAGAACCAAATTAGGACTTAGAGTAAAGAGAAGTATGCTTGTTGGATATGCAGAGCACAGAAAAGCTTATAGGCTTCTAGACTTAGAGTCCAACATAATAATTGAAACTAGAGATGTTGAATTCTTTGAAAATAAACTGTGTTCTAAATATATAGAAAATGAACTCACAAAAAATGAGTTTAAAGAATATAGCACGCCATATGATTCTAGTATAAAGCTAATAGAAAATACTGGTAGAGCAATTACACAACTTGAGTATGCTAGTGCAGTAGGAAGCTTAATGTATGTTATGCTTTGTACTAGACTTGATATTGCATTTGCAGTAAGTAAACTCAGTCGGTTTACAAGTAATCCCGGTGCAGAGCACTAGAAGGCAATTGAGAGAGTTCTTGGGTATCTCAAGAGAACCTTGGAACTTGGCTTATTTTATTGTGATTATCCAGCTGTATTAGAAGGATACACTGATGCAAGTTGGATTACCGGTAATGGAGATAACAAGTCCACCTCTGGATGGATTTTCGTTCTTTGTGGGGGTGCGATCTCTTGGGCATCCAAGAGACAAACTTGTATATCTCACTCGACCATGGAATCCCAATTCATAGCCTTAGCGGCTGCTGGAAAAGAGGCTGAATGGATTAGGAACTTATTATTGGATATAAAACTTTGGCCTAGTCCTATGCCAATAATTTCCATTTACTGTGATAGTGAGGCAACTCTGTCAAGAGCCTACAGTGGTACCCACAATGGTAAGTCCAGACATATATGTCTAAGACATGAATTTTTTAGGCAACTGATTCAAGATGGAGTCATCACTATAATCTATGTGAGATCAAGTAAAAACTTGGCTGATCTTCTTACCAAGGGCTTGGCTAGAGAATTGGTAAGAATGACAACTAAAGAGATGAGATTAAAACCCTTTACTTAGTCACCTGTAATGGTAACTCAACCTGAACTGAAACCATCAATATTGGGTTTAATGGGTAACAACAAGTTACAACAATGTGACTGTTAGCACTGACATTGAGAAATTTCCCATCACAACATAAACAGTGTTGTCCGTTATGATGAGAGGTTGAGTTAAATTCTTAATGAAGTTCTGAAATGTGTCAAATAACGGAACACATAGTGGAACTTCACCTATGTGAACATAGAAGTGGTGCCGCTTCTCATGAGAGTTTGGGTTTGCTCTCAGGATAGTTCATGAAATCAAGAAAGAAGCACATGGCCATAACAGTGCTGAGCAAAACTTGAAACTCTTGCAGAGACTGGACATTTTATGTATGGGTGTCTCCGGTCTGTCTTGAGAGTAATTGGTTTAAGGTTTTACCACCAATAACTTTGACAAGGCTCTGAGATATTTATACTAACAAAATGTTTAAGTTGATAAACACCTTTTGTATGCATAACTGTGTCATAGTAGTTTGGATTGAGAGAGAACTATATAATTGATCAATCAATGTAGGGGATTGTTGGATTTTAATCTCATAAGAGATTAAATCCAATGGGTTTGATTGGTCAATTACATGAGAAATTGCACCTATACACTTGATTGAAAAATTGATTTTTCTCTTACAAAACCCAGTTTTGAACTTGTCCCACATTGGAAAATTATAAGCTTTGTTAATATTTTAGTAGAAGCTGATTTACACTCCTCAGAAATAGAAGAGGAGAGTTAGGGGTTTGATATCGCGCAACGCGTGTGCGCGCATGTGTGCAGCGCAATGAGGCGCACTTTGCTCGCACTTCGCGCTTTGGTTTTGATGCGATGTTGACCGTTGATCACCGTTGATGAGATCAACGGTCACGATTCGATCGGGTGTGATCAAGAGGCACAATTCAAGGTTAAGAGTCATTAACTGTTAACTACTTTTTAAATAGTCAAAATGTTTGAAATTGTAACTATTCAAGGTGCCTTCTTTGAACTAGCACCTACCTTTTCTTCATACCTCTTCATAAACTATTTAAGAAGCATGAATCATACTCCAAAAACACACAATTTCGAAATTCACTCTCTCTCTCTCTCAGTCTGGTCTGTTACAGTCTCACAGAAGGTTTCTTTGAAAACTCTTCAACTTTACTGGTTGCAGATTCTCGCCCAAGTGGGGACAAATAACGTTTTAAGGACAATGTCTTCAGACGTGCCTCAGATCTTCTCTTCCAAAATTACGGTGACCCCATTTCTCCAACACGTACCATTTACGATCAAGCCTCTACGTGTCTTCAGTTCTTCACAATTCTCGGTTCTTGTCTTTCCGCCAAACATGTCATCCATCGTGAGGCTAGATTTTTTTTTTTTTTTAATTTTTATGTAAACAAATTCGAATATTCGATATTCCATTTTCTTTTGGTACAATCAAATTCGATATTCTTAGGTTAGGAATGAGGTTTCAGATAATCATTTACGCATGCTTTGCCACGTGTACGGCCAAAGACCGAGATCATTGCAAGCATGCAAAATTCAAAGTGGGGTCATCTCAATCCCGTCCGTTTATATTTTATAACGGAGTTCCAAAGCTAAGAGTGTCAGACATCCCAGAAAAATGTAAAAGAGACCAGTTAGCAGGAAAAAGAAAAAACAACTTAAAAAATGGTATTTTTTTTCGGAGAAGTACGGAAACATCCGATGCATAATTCTGAATTCCAACCCCTTACTACTAGCCCTCTCTCTCTTATAAATTACATCCTGTCCGTGAATTTAGCATCAATTCACGGTCAGGATGCATTCCCCTGTACTATGGGGTTATAAAATTCTAATCTGCGCTGATTAATCATTCTCCCTTTTTTTTGGTACATAACTTCAAAAATGGTATGGGCTATCCGGCTATGTGTTTGTGTAGATGGAATCCTCAAACTCAAATTTCTCTCTCCAGAATATCCAATGCTTTGGGCTTGACGATCATTCATCCAGATACATAAAAATTTACAGGGCTGGGAGATCTCAAATTGTGCTGATGTTTTGAGCTACTTCCAGACGCCATTAATCGTTACCTCACCTCTTTCTCTTGTTGATTTTTTCAACCGATCCAGTTGTTTTTCTTTGCAAACCTATCTCTAAGAACTATTTTCCCGCATACTTTTTTGACGGTTGACCAGATTTCCGTTGCTTTCGGCAGTTCAGATTATTCAGGAGCTGGGAAAGGGTCGATTTTTATTTATTTATTTTTTGCGCCGAGGGGAAGGGAAGGTTTAGTTATTTCGTACCAGGTAAACTTCTTATTTTAACTATTATTCACCATGGATGTATTCTGGTTTCGGGATTTCTTTCCCTATCATGTTCTATAATTGGATTTCTAGTATCTAATTTTCGAGAAATTCTTTTTTCCGTCTCTCACATAGCATTCGAACTTATTAAGTAATCAAAGGATATTCTCAATAATCCATTAACTATTATTGCAACTTTGCTCTTCTTATTCAACTCTTGTGCAACTCTTTTACTTCCCCTTAGAGGGGGGGATATGCTATTCTATCTATAATTTGGTTAGGATCGGGGCGCTCTTTTGATCATTGGATAAGATTTTGTTTTTGAAGAGATGGGGTTGTGATTGTAAAAGTTATGAGAGTGTTTTGCCCATCTTGGTACGAATGAACTAATTATGTTTTTCGATAGTTGATAGTTCATTATCTGGCTGAATTGGACTAGATGCCTTTATGGATGGTTTCTGTTGATATTTTAGGTGATTAGTTTGTCCAACGTGCTGACCCCGTATAGTTGGGAAAGTCATGGATGATGATGATGATGAGTCTGTCCAACGTGCTTCTTCTTGACAATTTTGTTCTGGACTTTTACCATCTGAAGAAAGTCTTAGAAGGGTTAATTGATTAATAACATTCTGTCATTCTGATTGGTTTCATTGCTGATGGAGAAAACGTTCGAATAAGTACAATGACTTTTATGATCAAAAAGCTTGGGTACAAATTCTCTATTAACTACCCTGTGCATCAGACAGATAATGGCTAGCATGCAAGATGTACATGCTGAAACCTGTTATTTTGAAGATCTCTACATAATTTGAATAAGGCAGATGGGCATAGAGGCCTCTTTGCTAAGATGGTGATGCAGGATGATAGCTAATTCTGAAGCTTAATTTTGAAGCCCACTAAATATTTTGGGTTATATTGGATTCTTTCAATGGCAAGAGACAAATATTTTATGTTTATGTCTTTAGTGCTGGCTACTAGAGTTAAAAAAGGTTTAAGAAGATTTTAGAATCTTTGCAAAGATGAATATGTCTTGGCAATATCATACAGATGTGATCGACTAATATGTGAGCTTTATGGATGGATGGACAAGATACAAGTATCTCTGGTGGGCCATGGTCTCCACATTGCTTAAATTGGGTTTTATCCTTATTTATGGAGCATCAAGTTAGGACCTAGAACCAATTGAAGTGTCTTCTTATTTGCTGAGGAGGATCTCTGATAGTATAAAGTATAATAATCCACTACAAGGATGTTAATTTGAATGCGGATGTATAAAGATGTAGTGGTGGAGAGTTGTTATTATCAAAATGATTCTAGATATCTTGCCTAGAAGGAATCAAGGAATATAGGAAAGTGTGGAGGAACTAGTTGCATTCCCAGGCTAGGGACTAGTAACTTTTAAGTGGGGAGCATTGTTGAAGCACCTCTTTTTGATACATCTTTTCTTTCTCTTTCTCAGTTTCTCCATTTTGCTAAATTCTCATCTTGCATCTCTTCTCTGATGTCTAGGATCCACTCAATAAATTTTCTTCCCATTAAATAAAGTGATTAAAGACCAAGATCCAGCTATTAAATTGAGACTAAATATGCTGGGTAGGTGCGTACCAAGAAGTATATATTTGACTTTTATAGATAACCAGCATTGAAACATAGAGCACTTAAGAACAGGTGCCCCTCCCTATCATCTATTGGGGCTTGAGGGGGGGGGGGGGCGGGTCACGAACCATGAGGAGTTGCCAAAACTGGGGGCTTTGTATACATACACGTGCGTAAGACTTGTACACAAGAGATGAACACCTCTTACAACCCAAAAGCCTAAGCTATTGGGTAATGGGCCACTCTTGTATACAAGTCCCTTGCACTTCTTGTGTCTTTTCAATGTGGGACTCTCTTTCATTCCCCATTCCATACACCTACTCACATGTGCATCCCAACAATCTCCATGTGAGTTTCTTTAACCACTCCCCCTCGAATGGAAGTCGATCACCAAGCTTGACATGTACCATACTGCACTGCATGCACAACACCAAGAGCCCTTCTTCACGACCATAGGGAGCCTATGACTTCACTACCTATCCGAACACACGTAACCATTCGACCATGGGGAACCGACAGAGCCATGAGAGCCATTGTATGCCCATCTGTCAACGTTTGCACCCAGCCAAACCTTCGGCTCTGATACCACTTCTTGGGGCTTGAGGGGGGTTTACGAACCATAAGGAGTTGCCAAAACTGGAGGCTTCGTACACATACACGTGCGTAAGACTTGTACACAAGAGATGAACACCACTAAAAACCCAAAAGCCTAAGCTACTGGGTAATGGGCCACTCTTGTATATAAGTCCCTTGCACTTCTTGTGTCTTTTCAATGTGGGACTCTCTTTCATTCCCCATTCCATACACCTACTCACATGTGCATCCCAACATCATCATCCCACATTCACATACTCTATCATATGTCCTTTCTCTTGCCTTTTCAACCTCTTTTTGCATTGCTTTCTTACTTCATCTTACATTCTCTCCCTCTCTTGCTGTCATGAGCTCACTCTCCTTCCTCTTTAATTACATACATAATAAGGTATGAACATACTTTTTAAAAATAATGTGTGAAAAGTCAATCATTTATAAAATAAAATTAGCTATTAGAAATAAACAATTTATTTAAAATAATGGCATGTTTCTGGAACTGGCAATTTTATTTATACAGATGCATATAAATATTGCACACTTTATTCATGAAAGATTAAAACTATTGACCTTTTTAAATTTGATGGTCCAGTTGTTTGGACCTGCTCCATACTCTAGATCCACTCTGGATTCTCTGCAATAAGGCCCAACTCTTGAGCCTTAAAATGCAGAACCAATCAGCATATTCTTGGGCCTGTAGCTGCTTGTCACTAGAGATCTGCTTTCTAGTTACATTGGTTATTTGCAGTTTTGATTGCTAAGCAAGATTTGTCTTTAGGGCTGTGTTTGGTAAGAGTGCAAATGCAAATATGTTCAGTTCATGAAAATGCAAACCTGGTTTGGTTATGCATTGATAAATTTTGTATTGTGTTTGGTTGTGATGGTACAAACATGAATTTCAAGGATGGAATCTACATTTTTTATGTTGATCAACTTTGAATGCAAAAGTTTTCTTCAATTTTTTGGAAGCAAATTTTGCTCCCATTTTGAATGAAAAAGCATTAGCAGAAAACAAAGTTACTTTCATTTCCAGAACTAAAACATATTCTTACCAAACACCCGCAAAACTGAACTGAAGTGCAAATTTGCTTAGGTTCAACATTTGCACTCTTACCATACACAGCCTAAGGGTTGTACTTTGGAATTAACAAAGAGATTAGTTAAATACTCAAGAATCCCCTAGTGAAAACTTTATAGGTAGAGTGATGACCATGTTCTAATCTTGGGGTTGGCATCTTACCAATCATAGAATGAGAAATATGAAGATAGTCTAACATGTGAAGCAATGAGTTCACATAGTCATAACACTTTCTTGTGGCCTCTAAAAAATCCCATACATGCTATAAGTGAAAAGATAAACCAAATCACCCAATGAGTGCATGCCTGGGTGATTTGGTTTTCATGAATTCACATAGTCACAATAATTTCTTGTAACCATCCAATCAAACACAAACATGCTGTCATCAATCAAATGAAAAGCCAAATAACCTAGCAAAGGCATTTTTGCTATTGCTAGACCAAATGATACAAAAACAACCCGCTATCATATAAAATAGAGACTACCTCTAGGATATACTACCCAATTATGACAATTACGTAATACCAATGTAGCTTGACATGTAGATTGATGCTTAGGTGATAAGGTGCTCATGGAGGGTCACCTTAATCGCCAAGATATTTTTTACATGGTGCTCTTGGACTTGGATACTTTTATATTCTTAACTTTCTGATTATAATAACAAAGCAAACGTTATTAAACTAAATTATACAGTTGAGTGAAAATACTCATTTTTTTTTTTATTTTTTCTTATTTGTTAGGGTTCAATCAAGTTGTATACTGTGAACTCTTGAAGACTTCAAAACCTGAACTAACAAACATGTAAGAACTCAAAATTTGTCCAATTAACACATTGATTTTCTTCTTCTTCTTTTCTTTTTTTTCCTAGGACAAAAATAGTCACAACCCCTCTATTTTCTGAAATTTCTGTTATTTCTTCCATTTTTTCATGATTATGTTGATTTTCTATGTTTTAAATGACGTTTATACATTTTTTATGAAGATTATAGCAATTAGTAGCAAAAGATGGTTGCTGCTTGCTATGCCTAGGTGACTAGGCAACAAGGTACCTCCCTATCGCCTAGCCTTGCCTCGACACCTTAAAAACTATGATAGCTAGGTATAAAGCTGATGTGGACTGGGGCACAAACTTCATGCCAACCTACAGTAGCTGGTACATTGCCAAAATTGAATTCTTCTTCTGTGCTTGACTTGTGAATTGGGGTTTTTGCTTGGTGCACTGGTAGAATCTTAGGTTGACAAGTGTGAGAACATGACTTAAAGTCTAAGAGTGAGCACATTGTAAAAAATACCAAAGGTTAGGTCTCTATCAAGTCCACCCCTCCCAAGACCCCAGATAGCTGGGACCAACATTGGGCCCTTTTTTTGTTTGACTTGTGAATATAATAGTATATTTTCCTGCATGATTTTTTAATGTTGATTGTTTTACAACTTGCTTGTGTATTTATGGAATGTGTTTTTCTGTCCCATTGTATTCTCTGAAGCCATATTCTTAGTCATCTATTTTCAGTGGAAGTTAGAATGGTTCTTGGCTTTTCTGTTGTGCTGGGTGATATTTTACTAGTTCTGTCTCAGTGGGTTTATAACTATCTTTCATTAAACTGGTGAGTGATTTTTTAGAATGGTTAACAATAAAATAATATATTAAGATGCATAAGAGGATTCCTACTATCCAAAAACGTGGACAGTAGGGCACAAAGAAAACAGCATATTTCTGACCACCCCTATTTTCTCAGTATGCTGTTCATTACAATTCTCCTATTGGTCGCAGAATACCCCAGACAAGGTTATCCCTTGTAACCCCTGCTCTTGCTAGGGAGTCTGTCAAACTGTTAGCAGCTCTGGAAATCCACCTGAATAAGCAATTCAGGTTCATAGGCAAATCTTTGTTTCTCTAACTGGAAATCTTAGTATCCATAGTCAAAAGTTCTGCTTTCAAAGAATTTCCATCTCCAACTGACCCTGAGAAACTGAGTAAACTGTTTCCCCTGTCATCTCTAACCATCCCTCCACTACCTGAAGCACCTGTGATGCCCAACTACATCCGTCAAACCAGTAAATGATGATGCTGCATAAATTATTCAATTTAGTGAATAATTTGAGACTTTGAGTTAAATTTGAAGCTGTAGTACTGATAATGTCCTCTAGGTGCTACTGTTGCCTCTTATTAAGTTGGTGATGAGTCCACTTAAATTCTTTCATTCAGTGAATAATTTTGAGAGGCGCATATAACTTTATTGGAGCTAAATTTTGAGGATAGCAACTAGAGAACTAAAGGAGTTTCAAACATTCCTACCAAAAACGGTGTGCCTGACTTGCAGATGCTATTTCAGACGAGGATGCTAACTTAATATTTTCTAAGTAAGCATACCCTGATTTTGATAAATGGGGTGCAGTCCTCATGTCCTCATGACAAGACAAGAAAAGACTATTTTTTTTTGTCATATCAAAAGCTTGCCTTTTCACTATTAATTGGGATTATTACCCATTTATCAGAAACAGGGTGTGCTTCAAATCACCACCCTATTTTCTCTGGTTAAGGCAGCTACTTTCTGTCTCTGGCTCTATTGGAAAATATTCTTATTTTTATGCACTTATGTATATTTATATAGCAGTTGGATGATCTGGTACTTGACAATTTGTATGGGGGAGACGTATGAATTCTGACAACCTTCATTCTATATCCATGGTCCAAAGACAAGGAGAAAAGGTGGAGTATATTAATTAATTTTCAATTGCAGATTGACAGGAAGGTTTGTTTGAAGTTATGACAACAATTTTGAAGAAGACCACTTCAAATGGCAAAGAAAAAATGCCAAAATTTGAAGAGCAGCAAGCAAAGGTACTTCTGATTAAGAACAAGTTATGTTCAATATGTTCACAACTTTTACAAGTCAGTTCTTGGCACCAAGTAATAGCATATTTATTTGTCTCAATTGACAAGCTTTGTAAATTATGATGCTTCTTTTTTTTTGCAGATTAATGAAGTGCACAAAATGATAGGGGCGTTGCCAGAAAAGCTGTCTTCTTACTGTTCTGATGCATCAATCTCAAGGTATTTGCGGGCACGAAACTGGAATGTCAAAAAGGCAACTAAAATGCTGAAAGAAACTTTGAAATGGAGGTTCGAGTATAAGCCAGAAGAAATCCGTTGGGTATGCCCCTTTTATTTGTCTTTTTTGTTTAGTATGTACAGTGTTGACTCATATTCAACCCTTGTGAGCTAAACTTGATCTGGTTTGAAAATCAAACTTTAATTTTTAAAGGCCAAAAGTTGGCTATTGGGAATTTCAAGTTTGAGCAACTTTTGGAAATAGTAATATGAAATCCTGGTAGTCAAAAAGCCAGGAAGTAATAAATTTGACTTCTAGCTTTAACCGTGTTGGAGTTTTGGAATTTTCTAGAACCTAGAGACCATGGGGGGGGGGGTCCCATGTGCTAAAAGCTAAAATTCCATATATGTTACAAAATGATCTTTGAAGCTAGAAGTTCAAATTAAAATGCCCCAAAGATGAAGCTTATACAAATGACATCATTTTGTTCTTGTTCCCTTAATTCCTGTGAATGGAATATTGGCTTCTTTATCTGACTCATATTATTTCACTATTGTGTACCTGGAAAACATCTTTATCTAGATTTGTTGTCTTCAGCATATAATTTACCTTTCTCTTGTGATGTAGGAAGAAGTTGCCCATGAAGCTGAAACAGGAAAAATGTACAGATTAAATTACACTGATAAGCATGGAAGAATTATTCTTGTCATGAGACCTGGTTGTCAGGTTTGATCTGAACATCTGTTTTGTGTGTTTGTGTGTGTGTGTGTATGTGTGTACATGCACATCCAAGGTTTGGGGGTTGGTAGGTGCACAAAGCTTACATTACATGGCTATGTAGATTTTTTACATCTGTCTGACATGGATGCTAGGTGTCAGCCATTGTGACATCTTTATGGTTTATTTTGTATCTTTTGAGACTCCTTTAACTGGAATATGCAGATACACAGAAATAAGACAAACGAGAAACTATTGTCTGATAAACATGATTGTGACTTGGCATAGTCAAATTTCAGAAAATGAATATTCTTGTTGACATGTGTTTATGTGTGGCCAGGACGAGATTTGGGAGCAATTGTTCTATTTGTTAACAATGAAGAAATTTTACCATTCAAGTTGTGATGATTATATCATATATATAGTGCATATGCTCAATATGCTCATTCATATGCAACAATACAGGTTCCAAGACCATATAACACATTTTATGTATGATCTTGATTCTCTTTTCCCATTTTAATCATTGCATAGCTGATATTTTCTCAACTTTATCAAAACAGAATTTCTGTGGTCAAGTCACCTTATTACGCCATTATGGTGGTTTTTAGGTGATAAAGTGGGTGTTGTCAATTCGGGAGTTTGGGATGATGTGCATTCTGTTGTATTGAATTCATACGAGGAAATAAATCACTATTTTTAGATGTTTACACAAACATGTAATCATGTAATATTAGATAACTTCATTACCTTCAAAGTCCAAAGTCCAATTGAAACTTTTTGTAGTATTGGCACTTGTCCTTGCAAACTTTTTGTGGTATTACCTTCATTACCTTCATGTTGAAATGCAGAATACAAAGTCAACAAAAGGACAAATTAGGTACTTGGTGTATTGCATGGAGAATGCAATTTTAAATCTACCACCCGAGCAAGAGCAGATGATTTGGCTCATTGACTTCCACGGTTTCAATATGTCAAGTATTTCAGTGAAGGTAACACGGGAAACAGCCCATGTTTTACAGGACCATTACCCAGAAAGGCTAGGTGTGGCAATTCTGTACAATCCACCCAAGATTTTTGAATCCTTTTGGACGGTATTATCTTTTCTCCTTTTCTTTTCTCTTGATATTTGTTAATGATCATGTTCCTTTCTTTTTCCCCTCAGCTATGGACTTTATAACCCAGTAAAAGTGGGGGAAAGGAAGATTTGAATTTTATAGCCATAGGCTTTTGTCAGACCTCAAAACTCAGTATATAAATAAAGTTGGGAGTATTTGGAGTCTTATGAAATTATAAACCTCTTTGTTAATATGTTCAAATTATAATTGATAATTATCCCCTATAAAAGGATTATCAGGTCAAATGGCCCATGCAGTTGCTCTGGATATGCAGTGTAATCTCCTGGATTAAGATCAGTTTAATTTTACATGTTCCATCTTGCACCTAAGGTTATTTTGCAAAAAGGAAACTTAGAAAAATCCTTGTCATCAGATATTTGTGGTTGTCTGATTTACATCCAGGAGATTTATGTGAAACTACAATCAATTCTAGAAGTGGGTGTTCACCCCTATGCATGTGCTATTTGTTCTGGTAAGTGGTTAACCTTGTTCAATTATGACAATTAACCGATTAGATTCCTATATATTTGTCTTTAGCTCTTTGTGAGTTTATATTGATGTATTCTTGCAGCTGGTGAAACCCTTTTTAGAGCTGAAGACTTACAGGAAAGTAAAGTTTGTTTACTCTGACGACCTTAACTCCAAGAAAATAATGGGAGACCTCTTTGACATGGACAAGCTCGAGACAGCTTTTGGGGGAAATAGCCAGTTGGGTTTCAACTTTAATGACTATGCCGAAAGGATGAGAGAAGATGACAAGAGGATGCCCTCATTTTGGACGAGAGGGAGTTCTCCTGTGGTCCCAGAGCCAATCCCCACTACTGCCCCATGTTTTAGTCCCATCAACTTAGAATCAGACTCTGATGACTCAGGTAAGGAGCAAACGAACAACTCTTCCAATGAAGGAGTTGATTCAGAAGAATGCTCCCCTGATGACTGTCTACCAGTGGCAAATGAGCATATAAACTGTGTTGGAGATGCAAATTCTGGTGAAGGTTCAACCAGCCTTCCAGACCTTGGTAAGGTACAAATATCTTAGGATCTAACTATGCTAACTGTTTGACATTTATTAGATGGTTGCAATTAATATGAAAGTATAATTGCTTTAAACTTTTATCCTTCCTGCTTAGCCACGAGTCCAAAGGAGGCTTCTTTACAGAGCTTCCATGTTTAACATCCTTTATTGCATCTATTTTGCATAATCCTCAATTCAGGATATCATCTAATATCGTGTGTCTTGGAACTCCCTATCAGGGCCAACAGATATGCACATAAATCATGCACGCAAACAATTCATGTAGAATTGTAGATTATAGACAGTAGATCGTGGGGATAAGAAACACTACTGTGGCCCTTTATATAGAAATGATATTGGTTACTTTCTTGGAATTCCTTTATTATCAGAATGTTACATATTAAGCTAATAATATCATACACATTTTGCCTGGGCATAGATAGCTTATAAATATGCATACTCAAGGTTCAAAATATTGATCTGTATTGGCAGATACATATTGTATCGGGGGCTTCCCGATACACCCCTACAGGGGGTGTTTCGGGGTTCGACCGGTTCAGGGGTAGACGGGGTTCTTAAACCAACTCCTCTGAACCAGATTTGAAAAAAAAAAAAACTAAAAAAAAGAAATAGGTACCTGTACACACCGATACACCTCTACTAGTGTAGCGGGTGTATCGATATTTTGAACCTTGTGCACACTAGACCTGCCAATTGGATTGGTGGGTCAGGTTCGGGTTTGGTCAAGACTCTTCAGGTTGATTTCGGGTTGGTTGACTTTAGGGTTGGATTGGCAAATGTTAGACCCTAACCCTAAATGTTCGGGTTAGGGTTGAACCATGGGCCAATTTGGGTCATCCCAAAAAATAAATAAAATTTTAAAACATAAAAAAAATACATGAAAAGTGCCAACATTAAAAGAATTAACCTTAAAATTCCAAAAATAAAATGAAATAATTAAATGGTAAAAATACATGAAAAGTCCCAATTAAGCCTAACAATTGAATCAGCGGGTTGACCCATGACCCAACCCATTTTTCGGTTGGGTCAGGTCAGGTCATTCTCAAATTTGGATAGCTAAATATGAGACCCTAACCCTGTTTTTTCGGGTTGGGTTGGTTTAAGTTCATAGGTTGGGTCAACTTTTTGCTAGGTCTAATGCATATGCATTCTTTTTTTTTGGTAGAGAAAATATGCACTCGTTCTAATGTTTAATAACATACAAAAATTTTCTTGAAACTATGGTAAATGACTGAATGTTAATAGAATCTTGGTTACAAATTCATTCTTCAAATTTACTTCATTAGTATTATCTACTAACGATGCTGAAAATCAACTTAATATTGTCCTAGCCTAGGGATATCCATGCTCGGACTTAAGGCTGTATTTGGTTTGAGAAAATAAGAGAGAAATAGAAAGTTGAGGGAATATACTTAAGGAATTTTGTTGAAGTTTTCTCAATTTCCTGTTTCTTAGGGGTGTTCAAGTTCGGTTGATAAATCGAAAATCGAACTGAACCAAATCTAATAAGCTCATTCAGTTTGGTTAATTCAGATATTGGACTGGTTCGGTTTTTATTTTTCTTTTTAAATTGGTTTTCGGTTTTGGTTTGGTTTGATTGAACTTTTCAACCGAACTGAACCAAAAACCAAATTAGTACTGTTACTTAATTAAGTATATTAAATATTTAATGTTTTATTTAATACTTTATGTTAATTAATTATTATATTTACTAATGAACAATTTGTCAATTCCTCAGGCACATTCTAACTTTTAATTAATAATAGTTCATTAAAACCTAGACTCATTATTAATTATTCATTAATCATTAATTATTTTTGAAAATGGGCAATTCACCAATTCCCCATTGTTATAAGGCTTTGGGCCTATTCTAGCTTTTAATTAATAATAGCTAGTTAATTAAAACAATTGGGCTTTGGGGTCATTCCAACTTTTAATTAGTAATAGTTAATTAATTATAACCATTTGGTTTTGGGGCCATTTTAACTTTTAATTAATAGCACTTATTAAATGCTTATCATTTATGTGGAATCAGGGCCCAATCGAACAAAAAACCGAACCAAACTGAACTGAATTTGGTTAGGGTCGGTTTGGCTCTAAAATATAGTTTAGTTTGATTCGGTTAGAGGAAATAGTAAAACCGAATAGTCAGTTAGGTCTTCGGTTTGAAATAAATTGAACTGAATCGGTCGATTGTACACCCCTACTATTTCTTATTTTCTATCAAACCAAACATAGCCTAAAGTATGTGTGTATGTAAAACATCATTTTTTTTTTGTATGTATGAAGGCTTTGAAATCCAAGGGTACCAAGTTTTGGATGCGACAACCTAGAGATTAAACCATTGTTTTAAAAACCGACTTGGAGGTTGAACTGTTTTTGCCTCCGAGTTGTGGGTCATCGTTTTGACCATCTGGGTCGAACGGGTCAGACCGTGTCACATCAGCAATACATACATACATGAATAGGTATGTATAAGCATGAATTTTATCAATAAATACTACATAATTATGTTTTACATGTATTATTTTATATTTAAATTATGTTTTTTAATTTTGTTTTAAATTTTTATTTATAAAAATAAAAATTACAATTTAGGGCCAAAAAGAAGGTTTTTTGGTGAAAATAGCAAAGTATGGCGCCTACGGCTAGATCTCAAAAAGTTATCCAAAATAATAAATATACCTTGATTGGACATCAGAGTGCAAAGTTATGGTCTCTTGAATTTTGCATACACATTTAGTGTGCAACCCATAACCTAGTATTTGGGTTGAACGGGTCAATGGTCCAACCATCTAGGTTCGGTGGTTTTTGACTGTCTATTGGGTTTTATTAAATCAGACCTGAAATCTTGATCGGGTGATGGTTTGATTGGTTCAACTGGATGGGTCAACGACGGGTTGAAAACATTGGATTAAACCTCCTCTCTCTCTCTCTCTCTCTCTCTCTTGGTGCATTGTGCGATACAAAACCCTTTTGCAAGAAAATCGAAAAAAATGCAGAGAACTTTTTCAATGATTTGACCTACTAGGTCGCATGACATGATTATGTTCACTCCATTAACCAAGTTTCCATCTTCTCCTCACAAAGCGCTACTCACACAAAGCTCATAGTCACATTCCACCATGTATTGGGAATATTTTCCATGAATAATAACATACAAGTATGGGAGATGTTTCCGATGTGTGGCTGGAACATGCTGTGAGATCCATGTGAGTGCTCAACATATCCCAATTCCCATGTGCAAACCTGATCATGTGATAAATCATAAGTGAACATGTAGCAAAATTAGATTCAGTCTTTACATCGTGCTCACAGCCACTTGCAACTGTGCATTGGGAATATCCTCTCATGAATAAAACCATACAAATATGGAGATGTTTTTGATGTATAGCTGCAAAAGGATGTGAGCATGGTCATTGGACATAAGTATGGAGATATTTCCAATACAAGGCTGTAAAGGCTGTTGGCACGGGCTTTGCACTGATGGAAGCCGAACTCCTGTTTGATAGCCTATGCTCTAAATCTGGTAGACACATTTAGCGAACACTGAATCGATATGTTTGAAATATCTCCGGTAATAGTAATTGTATGTCAAATACATGATATGGATGTATGCCATGTTCTCAGGGTGTCTATACGATTTTTTGCTATTTCCTTCAACACTGTTATTGTTGCATGGAGTTTATATAGATTAAGAGAGAGTTATGTTGACAACAGTCTGTCAGAAGAGAGAGAGCCAAATTTATTTACCAATAAATAAAATAAAAGAGCCTTTCAAGCCTCAACTATTAGCCTACATATGTTGGCTGTGTTAGCATAAACCAAAGTTGCCTAAGAAGTGCACATTGGTTGGTCGTTAAGAGGATTCTTAGATTTGTGCAAACTAACAAAAAAATTACAATCTAATCCATTGTTGTTAATTGTTGTAGGGTTCAAATTCCTTTTTTTTTTTATATGATACCAATTTTTGAGCTTGTTTGTTCTTGTTGCACTATTTGCATTACTTGAGATGATTACAACCCACCATATAGAGAGTAACTGTCATTGAGATTAATTGGGCCAAACTTGTTCATATCTCTGTATTTTCTGGCTCCATGATGATTTCTCTCTCTCTAAATTGATGTTCAATTTAAAAAAGCAGTGTAATATGTACTTGTAACCAATGTTTTCAAAACCGGGAATCGGTCACCTGAGTGGTTCCGTTTCACCCTAGAACTATTTTTTGGTCAACTGTTGATTTGGTCGGTGAATTGCTGATTTAGGTGGTCAAACTATTCGAACTGTTAATCCGGACAATTGTTGTTAGCCGTTTCTTATTTTTTTTTATTTTTTTATGAATAGACCATCCATTTTGAACGGTTGGACCATTCGACACGGGAACCGGACCCTGAATGATTCGATTTTAAAAACCTTGTAACTTACAAGGCTGATGGGCGTTGGGGTTGGTAGGGTCCAGCAAAATGACATAAATAACTAACCCAGGTGAATATCAGTACTGAATGATTTGTGCAATTGTGCCTGTGAGTGTACTACTCAGATCAAGACGGAGGCTATCTTGATCTAGTTAGAGTCAAGGCTGGCACACAAGTCATAAAGGCAAAATAAGGCATCTGTACGATTTCAATCATTTGCCAATAATACATCATAATATCCATTTAATACAGCTTTAGTCCGTTCTTTTTTCCGAAAGCAAGGAAAATCCTTCACAACTTGAAACTAACGAAAGATCACATTTATAGTTGAATTAATCTTCACACAAACTTATTGATGAAGAAAAGCAACCCAATTCACACTAGTTGATGGCAGAGCATACTCTGCGAATTTCTCCTTCAGTACCAGTCTTCACACCAATGTTACTCATCTTCACCATGGACCGTCCGAACTCAATATTGAATCTCAACCCAAGCAAGCCTCTGATGGGCCCTGAGAATTGTTGAACAAATGTTCTTGTGGAAGGATCCGTCCAAAGCTTCTGATCTGATTCGAGTATTCCCCGTCCATTCCTTAGGTTTGTAAAGAAGGATCCATCGAATCTGTCGGAGCTGCCGGTATCTAATCCTATGCGCCTGGTTCCGTCGCCGTTGGGTGGGCAGAGAGCCTGCAGTTGGGGAAGGAAGTTGGAGTCGATGGTCGGGTCGGCACCGTTTCCAGTTGTGGTGAAGTTATATAGCCTGTATCTGAAAAACTGGCAAGCTGTAGTTCCAATGGTGTGGCCTCCTGTGATCATAAAGACAGCTTTAGTACTGTTAACTTGATAAAAGTAATTGAAACTCTCTACTGCTTGGCATGATAAAGTAAAGTAAGCTCTTTCACTAACAAAGACTGATAGGATATATAATTAACACCTTATGAACTGTTTGTTAAATAATAATAATAAAACGGAAAATTGATATATATATATATATATATATATATTACCAACAAGGGTGACGAGATCCTGAGTGTTTAGGCCTTGATCAGCGAACTTTTGTTTCTGCACGTCAATGGAGTCGGTGAAACCCGGTAAAGTTGTAGTATCAGAAGCCCTTGATACTAGCCCATCCCTGCGCCCAGTGGGCACTTGCCAGCTTGGTCCATTCGCCTGCAGGAAATGATCAATGGTTAAAGTCTGTATAGTTCCCTTCTTTTTATTAATTAATAATAGGGCTACGTACCAATACAACTGAGTCACGGGCCGCAAGTGCTAGAATATCAGCGCAAGAGACGACACCAGGACAGGCAGCTTCAAGCTGGGTTTTGGCATCATCAATAACATCGTATCCCCTCAACAGTTGGTTGGGTGGTGCCGTTTTCTCGGTGGAAGGCCCGTCGATAAGGACGGAAGCATCACAGCCCTGGACAAAGCAGTCATGGAAGTGCATTCGGAGTAATCCAGGAGCAATGGTGGGATCAGATCGGAAATGGGATTGAACAGTGGAGCGTACTGTGGTTTCGACTTGGGGGCAAGATTTGGAATAGAACCCAACACGGGTGCCTTGGCCTTGAACATAGCCATAGGGTGTCGTGGCCAAGTTTATAATAAGCAATAGAAAGAATGCCTGTGGGAGTGTCCGGAATAAGATAGAATGAACCTCCATTAATTGATACGATTGAATTAGATCAGAGAGAAACGGCAAGAAGAACTAACAGTTAGCCTGACGCTCGAAAGGAAGTAGTAGTGTTGTGGGTGAGATGGAGTGAGGTCCTTAATATAGGCATGAGTTGAGTTTGACCATTGCCTGAGTCAAAATTTGAATGCTGTGGGTTGCATTATTGTATTGAGATTTGAGATCAAACAAACAACAATATTTAATGGAGACAGATACTTAAATCCAAATTCAGTGCTGGCGGACACCACCGGCGATGATGAGTCATGAGTCACGACTCATGAGGATGGACATTTGACTAGATATAGATATATAGCCTAGGAGATCATCAGCCTCCGGGAATCTTCCCTAGTGGAAATTGTATTGGTCCGTGGATCGGTGGATGGCGATGCTCCCTCTCCCTCTTGCCCATTCGATCGGCTGTATGCAGTGTCTTCTGGCTTCCTCATCTCTTCCTCTCTTCTCCTTCATTTTGGCTAGGTATCGTCCAGTCCAAATCTACTTGTCCGGCGTCTCTGTCCCAACATCGCTACGCGTACGTGTCCAGAATGCTGACTAAATACTCTTGTCTTTTACGTGGATAAGGACAAAATTTCACAGTGTATACCCTTTTTTTGTCTCTCAATTAGTGAAGCCAACGGTTAGTGGGCGAGAGAGGTTGATAGAGATAAGGGTGGGCTTGGGCCGTGGTCTACTTTGTCTAGCGACCGACTCAACTAGTGGGAGCGAGTGAGTGGGACATTGTCTATGATAGATACATTGATACAGAACAGAAATCCATGTTTTTTAGGTGACTGGGTTCGGGGCAGCGGAAGTCACTGT